AACGTTATCGTAAAGATACGTTTATATGAATTATGTTCCAAATGAAATGTGATAAGCTATGTTTTCTGAAATGATATCTGTTTTTTGTGAACGAATATTCCATATTTGAAATCTATTATGGCATCCATAGATAGTCCCAAGTCATGGGGGACGGCATGAAAATGCGGGTCCATGACATTCATGTATTTACGAGATCTCGTTAGCCACTTCATTGTGGTGATATGTGTTTAATCGATATCCGGAACCGATTACTCTAGTCGAAAGACGTTCTGTGATGTGTTCTATGGGATGTACCATTATTATGTTCTGATATGAGAATGATTATGCTATAATCTGTTTTTCGCTTATGATATGTTTGAATTTCGTTCACTAACCCCTTTACCTTAATGTTATTCATTGGGCTTTAGCTCATTGTGTGTATATATATATATAGGTGAGCATTCTAGAGCCTGGGCCTGAAGGCTTTTGTCTGGATCGGTGTTCTGTTGTCAGCCAACCATTGTGTCTCACGTGGAGGTTCCCGAAGCGTCATGAGTTTAAGTTCTGTGGTTTCTGTTTATTAAGACTTGTTTTGATGTCGTTGGCTGTACTTAAAATACTGTAATGTGTGTGGGTATAATGTATGACTATTGGTTATGTATATAAAATTTTAAATATTCTATTTCCTATAGGTCAGCACATCTCATTGGACAACTATATTTATCTATTTGCTTCCGCTAGGCCCTTAATCTTGTTAATCTGTTCAGAGGCCTTCGGTAGTCCAAGGATTATTGACCGGTTACGATGCTAAACCTATAGGGGCGGGTTTGGGTCGTGACATAGTGGTATCAGAGCACGAGTTATACCGCACACACGTGTCCATATGAGCTATATGATGTGTTAGAAATGAAATAGGGACATTGCATTACCATGTTTAAGTGTATGAACTATTATGATCACGTCCTTATTGAAAATACATTGAAATGAAACCTTTGTGCATAATCAAAGAAGTTAAGTAGAATAACATGTAATGTTAATTTCAATACCGAATGTGGAATCTATGTGGACGTGAACGTGTGAAAGTAAGGGATCATGTGACTGTATCTGAATTGAAATGAAAGTATAAACGCGTCGGATATGAAATGAAATGTGAAAACAGTGAGAACTTTCCTTATATTAATAAGCACCCTTTTTGTGTGTAACCAATGGAAAAGACAAGGAATATAGACGAATCTGAATCTTCTGACACTAGAATTAGCCGGTTAGAAAGAATGGTTGAAGCCTTAACCGAAAATCTGAAACAACAGCAACAAGGGCAAATACATGTACCTGAACCAGCTAATTATGATATGATAACACTGACACAGAAATACAATAGGATGAAACCACCGGAATTTTAGGGGGGTATTGAACCGTTAAAAGCTGAGGCTTGGGTCTTAGAAACTGAGAAAATATTTGAGGTATTTCCATGTATTGAGGCACAGGAAGTTTTGTTGGCAACATTCACGCTCAAAGAGGAGGCCTGGAGATGGTGGATGTTAGTACGAAATGATAATGAAAGTATGACATGGGATAGATTTAAAGAAATTTTCTTCGAAAAATATTTTCCCCAATACATCCGGGATAGGAAGGTATCCGAATTTGAACAACTAAAACAAGGCAAAATGACTGTGGCTAAATATGAAACAAAATTTACTGAGTTAGCCCGTTATGCACCCCACATGATAGACACTGACTACAAAAAGGCTAGAAAATTTGAAGGTGGGCTTGACTTAGATGTGTTTGATCGGGTTGGCATCTTAAAATTGCCAAAGTATGTAGATGTCACTACAAAAAAAATTATTTTTTTCGACGGCAAAACGCCGTCGCAAATACCCCAAACGCCGTCTCAAAAGGTATTTGCGACGGTAAAATGATTTTTTGCAACTGAAAGTGGGGGTCGCAACAAAGGGGGTTGCAAAGGGTTTTAGCTTGCTTTTGCGACGGGAAAATTCGTTTTTTGCGACAGCAAATTTCTGTCGCAATAATGGATGAAAATCTGAGTTTTTTGCGACGGCATAGTATTGCCGTCGCTAAAAGGGTTTTTTGCGACGAGAAAAATACTGTCGCTAAAAGTGTATTTGAGACAGCAACTTGAGCCGTCGCTAATGAGTATTGTCGACGGCAATGATACCGTCGCTAAAGGCCTTATTTTTCAATTATATTCCCTACCTTTTGCGACAGTATAGGTGCCGTCGCAAAAAGCCTGGTTCAATTTTCTTTTTGAGACGGGGTGTTCTGCCGTCTCAAAAAAAAATTTTAAAAAAAAATACCCTGTATTAAAATTATTAAAAATATCAAAATAACCTGTATTAAATGAAAAATAACTAAAAAAATCAATAATTACATAATAATATAAAAAGTCCAGTATATAAATAAAAATTCATCCATAATTAAAATATTCTTCCATTCATAACAATACATCAGCAAAATTATCCCAATACATAATGTTGCATAATACATACATAATGTTGTTCACAAATCTAAATAACGTAAATTAAAAACAAAAGTTTTCGTCATGATTCTTCCATGGGTTAATATTTTAATCTTTACACGTCTGCATTCCACAAGAAGCAAACTGTTACTCTGGAAATATCTGAAAATAAAAAAATAAAAATAATTAATGACAATATAATTGTGTTAATATTTTAATTACAGGAAAACATAAAAAATTAACTACTATATATATAAAAAATTGGCAGAATATGGATTCATACTTTTGTTGCAGCCAAAGATTCTAGGAATATTTATTTATTTATTTTTGACTCACGACTCTAATGGCATTAAAACTGATTGTTTTGAGGAAAGTACATTATGTCCTTAAATGTCACAGTTTATAACAATTTCTTTTAACAATGTGAGATATGGGTTGGCAAAAATTAGATCATGAATAGATCATAAAGACTGATAAAAAAAAAAATTAAAAAATTAAAAAAAGCCTTTCCTATGTGAAATTCAAGAACCAAATGAAATGCATATTACTGCCATCTTCATATTGACAGCATAAACAAATGAGATTTGCAAGAATCTTCTTAGTAATATCAATATATCAGGTGCTCATACATGAGAAATCAAAGGATTGAAACAAGCCAACAGCCCACCCATCCAGCTCCATAGACTAACTCTACTTCTAGCTTACTGTAGAAATGACTCCATCCAACTATATGTTTTAGACTACCACAATTTTTATGTAAAATCTGTACTAGTGGAGACAAAGGAAAATATCAAATAACATTTAACTTAAATTAATATTTAATATATAGTAACCTTTTGTTTAACAATCTAGATAAATAGAAAAGCATGATAATACATGATTCATTGCAGACCAAATAATATGATTGTTTAATACATGCAGAATCTTACAAAACAATGGTTTAAACCAAGGCACAAACTAGTCATAAAACAAATAAAAAGCATTCAACAATGAAGAAATATAGTCATCAAAATAACAAATTATACAAAGGCTTGGGTATTTGATGTCCGCAGCACAATATATCACACAAGCGAAGGAATAAAAAGGCGTGGACAATGCGCCATTTAAAATTACTAGAAAAACATGTAACATGTGATGATGACAGAATTGTACCTTTGGAAGGCTCCAACGGCTAATTCTTTTCAAGAATCTGGGATTCTTTTAGCTTACTCGATCTTTTCCCGGAAGGGTTAAAGACACCAAATTCTACAACAATTCTTTGGCTGTTTATTTCACATTTGATCGCCCCCACGCTTGGGATCTGGGAATTGAGAGGTGCCACCACCACAGGATCTGAAGTAGAGGAGTAAACACCTAACACATACAATGTTGGGCAAGCCCAGAGATGAGAACCTAATTTGACCTTTTCCCTTTTGACTCCAACTCCGGCCACAAAGGTGGAAGTGAAGTAAGGAGATTGTTTCACAGAACATGTTTGTAAATGCGGCATCACCAACTGGATTATCTTAATGAAGATTACCAATAATACATGCAGATGATTGGGTGCCACGTTCATGACTGGAACTGCCATCAGGAACATGATAATATAAGCAAAAATGAAGGGGGTGAATTGATATTTGGTGATTTACAGATCTCACAGAATACAAAGCCAAAATATTTAAGAACTTGCAGCTGAAAAACAAGTACTTGTGTCTTAGTTACAAGGACTCAAAATGAAAATTAAACGAAGCACATCAAATGCAATGTCATGAGGTTTTTGTCCTTCTCTATTATTCTATGTGTATAAAACAGTGTCCAACTTTTGAAAGAGCAGAAAAAGAAAGAAAAAGCACTCCTCCTGAACTAAAAGTTCAACATCTGAAATTACAAGTCACATGCCCGATGGAAATTTAAAGAAAAGATATCCGGTCTACATCTTGGCAACTTCTAGTTAACCAAACTGATCATTAAGTAAAACATGATTTCACGGCACGATTTTTCATAATTCATTAAAGACACGACACCTCTCAAAGATTACCCATTAAAAATAATTTCAAATTCATTATGAAACTACATACGAGCTATGAAGCATGGATATGGTTATTATATAATATTGATACATCAATACGACAAAACTTAAAATATGAATAAGGGTATGGCCCGAAGGCAAGAAGAAAACAATAAAGGAAAATCAGCATTTACACGTTGTGAATGGCTGCTTGGTGTTAAGATACAGAATGCCACCAGCACTACCCACTAATTAAAATTTATAATGAAACAATTATACTCTATATGGCTTTTGGAATAACCATAACCTCTTAGGAACAAAATTAAAGAACAACCACGATTGTAGATATAAAATAAATAAATGACAAGATCGTTGATATTATTAAAAGAAAGAAACATAACAAATAAAAAAGGAAAAGACTTAAGCTCAAAAAAAGTGTTTTCTATTCTTCCTTTCTTCATTCTTATCCACTTCATTCTTATTTGAGTATTTCTGTTCAGTAAGAGAGGTAATATTTAAGGTTAACCTCAGCTTCAATTTCAGATAATCTCTTATGATGAATTTGGATTCAACCTCTGCCAAAGCATGAAGTTGCCTTAACAGATCACCACCACCCCTGCAAATATTAGTTGCCGATTTAGAAAGTTAGATTACCAAAAGGGGATAAAAATAATTAAAACCATCTTCTTGTGTAGAAATAATAGCAACAATGGATTTTACCTTTTAACACTTGTAAAAAACATAAATATGTGCAGGAAAAAAAAATCAGGATGTTTTCATAGTTCAATAAGCACATTCCAATACTTGTAGATAAGGTTTTGGCAAAGAGTAGTTAAGTAACAACTGACCAAAATTATAAATCATTACCATTCTCAAGAATGGGGCAAAAGCATCAAGGATATTTGCTTACTTGCAACTTTCACCAGTCAGAAGGCCACTAGGCTGAAATATATCACCCTCGAGAGTGGGGTGCCAATTTTTCTATTAAAAGCAACATATGGACCAGCCATTAATGTGAAAATGATATGAAGCTCAACATGATAACAAAAAAAAAACATTTATTCAAAATACGTGGTAGTTTAGACATGTACAAGATGACAAATTAATTTGGTCCAATGCCAAAAATAAGGTTTAGCTAACACTTTTACAGATCAATAGCACAACCTTAAACCAAAGCGCATGTGTTTCTAAGATGTTTGTCAAACAATAAATTCATTCATCAATTCTAAGTTTTGAGAAAAAAATCCAACACCACATGTTCTCCGATCCTTTTTTGCAGTGTGCTTAGTGAAGTACAGTACATTTAAATCAAGACGTAGAATCAATGTTGCACTCAAATATAAGCAACAAAAGAAAAAATGTCATCTTCATATGGAAAATATATGTTATAATCATCTACAAAGGCACCTTAGGGAACAAGATTACTAAAAAGGACTTACCTCCCTCGTTGCATCAATAGTTTTGCAAACAAATGTTGAACCAAATACATATTCCATAGCACGCTACAACACACATCAACTCTCTTTAAAAACAAAATATAACTAACCCAAGCCAAAGTTCTTTTATCCAACCAAAAACAAAAACGCACGAATGCTAATAAGATTTTGCCCATCCATTGCTTATTATTCTTGGCCAGATAAAAATGATTCGATGATATAAATGATATACCATTAAGAAAGGCACGTGCTAGAAACATTCCAGAGCACACAATTGCACATGGGCAAAACAACAAATGGTCTCCAGCAACACCAAACACCATCAATTCAATGAGCAACAAAAGGATAGAATAGCATAAAAAACATATGTGAATTTATACCTTCAGTTCCTGATCATATCCAACCAAAGACAGTGCCACTTCTGCATTCCCCTTGCCAACCTGAAAATGTAGGATAATAACCTTCTGACAAACACAAACAAATACGGGATATATAAAATACAAAGAAAGCCAAATACAAAGACAAACCAATCTAACAGAAGCATTTTGGGATTGAATTTGGTTTAGATGGATAACTGTGTAACTCTTCTTCGGAGATCACCATTTTGAAGAAGTTGCTTTCCAGTATTTTCTGTGTCTACTATAATATTAAACAATTTTCTCCTGCAGCATCCTAAAAATGAACTGAGTGTAAGAGTCCAGTTATGATTATGTTTAGAACATGTCAAAACTTGGCAACATATTATACCATTTCTAAAATAAACCAAGTATATGGCATCATGCAAGGCCAACCTCTAAGGCAGTCATTGTGAAGCCATCCTTCACTTTAATAAGTTTAGCAACCGCACCGTTAACCCCAGTCCTATCAAAATTCTTCATGGGATCATGGTATGTGAAATCCATGCTAAAAGAATTCGAATTTCATCCATTAACTTCTGCACTAGCTCCAACTGAACTGTACGATCCTGAAGAACAATTTAATAATTACAACTCACAATTTACAATACACAGAAGAATTTTGACCAAACTGAAAACTTATGCCATCTGAGGTAGAATTTGTAGCAGAACCACCATTGGAAGAGATACCTTTTGTAAGGCTTCCATCTGCCCCTCTTCATACAGAAGAGATTCCAAAGCCAATTTGACATTTTCCACGTCTTTTGTTCTAGCATCGAGCTCATTTTCTACAACAACAGCTTCTTCACGTTTTGATAATAACTGATTTGCTTTCTCTTTCAGTTCTTTCTCAGAGTGGCTTATTTTTGTTTTCAGGAACTAGTTTGGGCTTGACACCAACTTTGTATTTTTCAATGGATAACAAACAAGTTATGATATTTCCTAATGTTGTGTTTGGTTGAGGGATTTGGAGAGGGATTTGGAAAGGGAAAGGGAAAAGGTGTGTGAAACTATGTGAAATGTAAGTATATTTTTTTTCACATTTCACATTTCACTTACCTTTTCCATTTCCCTTTCCAAATCCCTCCTCAAATCCTTCAACCAAACACAGCATAAGAGTATTGCAGTTAACATCAACAGCTTCTTCACGTTTTGATAATAACTGATTTGCTTTCTCTTTCAGCTCTTTCTCAGAGTGGCTTATTTTTGTTTTCAGGAACTAGTTTGGGCTTGACACCAACTTTGTATTTTTCAATGGATAACAAACAAGTTATGATATTTCCTAAGAGTATTGAAGTTAACATCCCCACGTAGTTCATGTATTCACAACTTATAATTACTAAAATATTAAGTGTAGAACTCAAGCAAGCAAAATTATGTTGCACATTGCGGAATGGGAAAGCAAAGGGTGTGAGGGTTACAGTCACTGATTCACGTATCAATAGGCCATCAAATAATGACAACTGCAAACTCTTGACCATTATGTTTATGCAGGATAAATGACAAAGTTAAGAGACACACTTGCACACACTTTCTAAGTCCGTTGATTGTCGGACCATACTGACCATTTGTATCATTATAAATGGAGATTGATTACGGATCTTTCAATATGGAAACACGTGTCTTCGCATTAGAAATTGGAAATTTATGACCAAGCCAATGAAATTCTGTCATAGATGCAGCCTGCTGAGATCTTGCCTCAACCATAACAGCCTGCAAATCGAGATAAAGCGAGACATGAGATAAATGGCAAGTAATGTAACAAAAGTCTGGAAATTCTTTTCCAATTTTACAGATAAGAAGAAAATATAATCTAACCACTATTAAAAAGGAGATGACCATAAATAGATCAGGATACAACATTATTCATAGCTTAACCTTTGAAACAACTAAACTTACCTCTAGTTTAGCTTTGAAAAGATCGAGTGCAGGTCCTTCCATTTCACCAATGTGCATGAGTTCAGAAGTTTGTAAATTTGACTCACCAAGTTTATGTAGACAGTATCGTATACTTGGTTCTAGTTCCTCAACACGCTCACGGTACAAAACCTGATTCTCTAGGTCTCCATATTTCCCGAGTTCCTCATAAACAGCCCCATTAGATAATGAAGTTAGCTACCATCCAACAACGATACGACTAAAGGAGAGGAGAGAAATTCCTGATAGCAGAAACATTCTAGATAGCCAAATTAGAAAGGGAACAAAGATTTTGAAGAAGCCAAAAATGGAAAATGCACAAGGATATGCTAGTAAATTCAAAGAGCAAATTACTCCCAAAGAAAGCAGAAAGGAACCTTAATCAAAATTTCATACAGTGAGAGTTCATATCTAATAACCCACACCACTCTATGTAATAGATTCAACAAAAGAAATATTCAAGGCCAAACCCATCTATCAAGCAAAGACACTAAAAATTAGAATAGAAAAGTAGGCATCTTTGGGAGTAATTTCATGGACTCCAAACTCCAATTACCTGAAGCCCAACAACACGACCTAGAAAAATTAGAATGAGGTGGAAATGTACCAAAAAGTATGCACACACCCAAAAAACAAAAAACAAAAAAATCAAATAAATGTAAGGACAGAGGGATAGAACACAAAATCCTAAAAATTTAAAAATAAATAAAACAAATAAAAAAATGGCTAGAAAATTTTACTTGAAAGAAGTGCCTCAATCTCAAGAATATTCATTATGTTTCCAAAAAACAACAAAGCTATGGAAAATGGTAGCACACAGATGGCCAGAGAGAGAGAGAGAGAAAAAAAGAACATGAAGAAGAAGAAGAAGAAGAAGAGCTAACCTGGTTCAGAGATTGAGACTGACTGAGAGAGTTGAAGAGAGACACACCGCACCGTAGTCGCTGGCTAGCCACCGTCGCACGTTGCTCGCCGTCGTCTGCAGCTGCTTGCCGTCGTCTGCCGCTGCTCGCCGTCAAGAGAGAGAGAGAGAGAAAGTCGTAAGAAGAGATGGGGAAAGATTAGGGATTTTTGGTTCAAGGGGGAAGAGAGAGAGAGTCGCAAGAAGAGATGGGAAAAGATTAGGGGTTTTTGGTTAAGGGGGGAAAGATTAGGGATTTTTTGTTAAAGGGGGGAAAAATGAGCGCCAAGGAGGAAAATAGCTGAGCCCAGATTTTGGGGGTTTTTTTTTTGCGACGTCAAGTTTCATACCGTCGCAAAAAACTTGAATTATTTGCGACTGTCGTTTTTGCCGTCGCAAAAGCTTGTTCATTTGCGACAGGAAATGGTGCCGTCGCTGAAATCCGATTTATTGGCGACGGCAAGTGGTACCGTCGTAAAAAATCACTTTTTGCGACGGCAAATGATGCCGTCGCAAATGCTTCCGTGTTATATACCCTCTTTTCTTGTAGTGTGTCCTTGATAGAGCACTAATGTCCGAGGCAAACATAGCAGCCCTGAAAATATCAAAATCAACATCATCAACTGAATCAGAAAGAATGAAACAGAAGAAACAGAAAGTCGAAATGACTAGTAATTCAGTGACCTCTGCGAATGAAAAATCTAGGGCAATAACTGTGAACAAGGAGAGTCGGGGAAGCAATGTGAACAATGGTTATACCTATTTGTAGAGAATGTGGGAAACAACATTGGGGCATTTGTCGCCGCCTATCAGGAGCTTGTTTTAGATATGGACAGAAAGGACACTTAGCTAAATCTTGCTCACGAGCTCATCTGAACAACACCTAGAGGCAAGGAAGGGTTTACATCCTAGTTCTAGCAGATGCTCGGAGTACTGAAACGACTGACGCAGGTATTACCTTAATTATGTGTAAAATGTATGTATGAAAAGTGATTTGAGAAATCTGTATGACCATGACTTGAACTGAACCGTTATATATTGACTGACATCATTGAATAATTAGACCCATGAACTCGAATTATGTACGTGAACCGTTTGTGTGTGGAACTTTTGAAATTGAGAACCTATGTTAGTTTGGAAGCATGAACTTTTACTTATGAAATTGCGAATAAATGTCTAAATGATCATTGATTCTAGACTCGTATCCGTACACATATGTCCTTGCTTGTACACTTTGACACCTACGGCCTGATGTGAATTATATGTGTGACGCTTTAGACTCTTTTGTGTAACAACTACCTATTGTATGGAGAATGTTTGGACTTATATATATCTATACCTTTGCTTGGGATGTTGATTGATTCAAACTTGACACGCTCTTTGTATCTAGACTGAGTGGACTTATGACTTGTTACCTTAACTATCGTATTTAGAGAAACTGTTTTGTGTTCATTTGTACATAGACCTTGTGAATCTGTATTGGGAAGGTTATTAGACTCTGAATAGACTCTGGACATGCACATATATGACTATACCTTTGCTCAGAATGATTGATATGATTATTTGTTTGATAGCTTGACCGATGGGAATATGACTCTGGGATTGTGTGACTAAACCCTGAATGATAAACTCTAAACTAAGGACTGTGATTGTTGAACATTGACAAGACTGTTTGACTAGACCAGTGAGCCCACGCTTTAATGACTGTATGACCGAGTTGAAACTTCTGTATAACGATCTGCTATTGTGTACCTTATGTTTACATGAAAAACTCATTTGGGAAATTGCTATATTGACTGTAATGCTTACCTCTCGATGTAAATAACTGCATGCCTGTGCATTTACCTGTAGAATTATTGGGAGGAAACACATTGTATATGACCTGGAACACTTTGACGTGAACTACCATGATACATGACTCTGATGTGACTTTGAGAATTGATGAACTTAGACTAATTGTGGAATTACTGACTATGCACCTAAGCGAATGGAGTATGAACTAGAACCTTTACCTGATCTTATGTGATAGGACTATGGTTTGATGAGACCTTCGTTTACCTGAGAGAACTTCTGTTTGATGACTTACACTTTGAACTTTTATTTGGGTAGAACTTTCAGTTGATATGACGTAATATGACCTGGTTGAACTTTCATTGATTTGATCTGAGGAGACCCTTATTGAGAGCTATTATCTGATTGATTACATTATGGGGGATTATGAATTACTTATGATTGAATGACAGGGCTGTGTTACTAAGGGAATTAACCGAATGAAAACTTGAATCAATCTCGAACACTTAGGAAGAATGCGAACCATCGACAGTAGACTACGTGGTTATAGATGACTTTTTACCATACGCCTATAACCGATTGGAAACACGCGAATGGGATTATGGAATTTGGTAACTTATGCTTGGAGAAATGGGAATACTGTATTTATGACAAGTGGTTAATCACTCCGGTAGTACTACCATGAACTTGTTTGACTAAGAGAATGATTGTTTTTGTGTTACTGTACTTCAAAACTGATGGAACTTATTGACAACAGACTGGTTCGATTATAAACTCTGACTACCTGAGAGGATACGCAATCAGTATGACTGCTTCTGTATTGACACATAGTATGATTGAATCCGTGGAAACTGAGGCTGATGAATAGTAT